ACTGGGCTATCTGCCATTCCTACCATGCACACACACACACACACACACACACACACACACACACAAACTACTTGCTGGATGCCGGACAGGCAGTGCTCTAAATGCCTTATCACGATCAGAGTGTCTTCCCTTATTAGGCTTTGGCCCCTGTGTCCACAGAGCCAAATGAAACGAGACATTGCCTCACTGCTGTCCGTAAAGGAACAATTAGCCTACAGCTAATCCCATTAGCCAGCCTGTAAACGCTGCTCACGTTTTCCATTCAGGCTAATCGAAAGGCCCTTCTCGATGCATCTGAATAGCCATCCATCATGTGTAAGTGTATATGGAGGGTTGAGCTGTTTCGCATTGACCAGAAGCCAACCTCACTGGAAAGATTAATGTAGCTGGCAAAGTGTAGAGGAGTGTGTCATCCAAGCGTGTTTAGGTCATAGTAGTCAACAGTGAAGATGAAGATAGAGACAGTTTATAACCTTTTCAATTGAGGCTTTGTGTAAAAGCAATGCACGTACGGCACAAAAGCCGTTCACATAAACCATCTGCCTTTGCATTTGAAGGGGAGTGCAGTTTTTAAATAGAAACCTGCGTCTGTCTGGTAACCACACAATTTCTTCGCGAGCGTGATTGAAACTGCAAGCAGACAACTCGTCCAGCCAGCGCTATTAAAATGTGATGGCAGACTCAGATGTGTGTGTGCTTGTGTGTGTGTGCACGCCTCGTACGTTTGGTCATCTTACCGTCGCCATTGGAGATGGGGGTGGCGTCGCACTTGCTCTCACACTGCTGCATGGTGGTGGGTCGGAGGGACTCTGCGCACTCGTTAGACGGCTGCCCGGTGTAGGACAGGCACTGCACCGTCCTCATCTGCTGGCCGAGGCCGCACTGGGCCGAACACTGGAACGAAAAGCATCAGTGAGTCAAACTTATTGTCTATGCAGGAGCATGTTTAGCCAGTTTAGTGAGGTAAATGAGGACCATGCTTCTCTCTGTGACCCTGAGTGCTGTAAATCTGCACTCCCTCATGCACGCAGACACACACTCAGCCATTCTGAGTAATCCCTGCATACACGCCGCACGACTTGATCCAATCAACCAATCACCAGGGCACGGGGGCAGCCAGAGTCACCTTCCCCTTTTTGTCTGATTCAACTGGTCGCCTGTCAGTGACTCTGTTTCCTAACTGGGAGTAACCAGGTCAACTGTTGCTCACAAGGTTTTTTTCTCTGCACATTTTTGGTGTATGTGTGAGGAGAGAAAGAGAAACAGACAGACAGACAGAAAATTGCCTCTTGTTTCTCCTGAGGAATTCCACTCTAACTCTTTTCAGACTAAAAGCTGAGGCACGAGCAGTGTGCACGGCTGAAGAGTCATCCTGAATCCCTCTGAATCACTTTAGATGAAAAATAGAAGGCTGCATCTACTAAGTGCTGCTGGCAGGAAGGCCAGAACCAGAAATACCTCAAATTGATGATTGAATTGGCATTATTTATGATTATCTTTAGGATGTAAAGAATAACTTTGTCAATAAGACACAACAGTTTTGGAAAATAAAGAAAATTTGGGTCTTGCAGATTACACCTGTACCTCAATCATAAGTAGCTTAGGGACAGTAGAACTAATTAAACACAACATTTATCACCTTTTCAGTTGATATGATGAACTTGTCTGCCAACAGCTGCTTATTTACACATCCAGCAGTTGTAGGGAAACGTTATTATTTATTCTGAGTCGTGTTTCTGGCCTCCTGATGAATGTGAGTCCAATATTCACTGTCCTTTAGCTCTGTTTTTGGTCTCTACCAACTCCTGAGGGAAACATCTGGCTCTTTAGCTGCTAAATGCTCCACTATGTTCACCAGCTTGATGTACTATCACTGGATTACTTTGATATTGAAGAAAACTTAAAAACATAATGATTCTCAGGCAAGTTCTGGTCTTGTCAGATGTGTGGACATAAGTCCTTTGTGTAGATGTTTTGGCATACATTGTTAAATAGGTGTCCAATATGACTGGGGATATAATCTTAAAGAGTTAAAAAGGCATTTTCAATTTCATCTGGACTTCAGCTGTGTGTCGCAGCAGTGGCTGTGACGCACAACTTTTAACCGCTTTTGATAAGCACACTAAATCAGCAGCCAAACTTACACCTGTCCCCTTCACCTCACACATCATCTTTCCCTCACGTCCCCCCTCCCCGACTCCCAGGAGTGCCTCACAGCTTTAAAACCTCCGTTATAGCCAAATAAAAAGAGAACTCAAAAACAGGAGACGTTACAAGGCCAGGTTCTGCTTCTGCCAAATTGTGTCTTCTGGATGGGTGCTTATCCAGCTCGGCTCATATTGTTATATACAAACGTAAATAAACTAATACAGCTGCAACTCCAGAAGCAAATCCAACAAAGCATCAGGCAGAATATACTGAACACAGGTGCAACGGGTGCTGACTAAGAACTTTTGATCAGGACCAGGTCCGCTGCGTGTTTCACAGCTCAAAGGTCTGCAATAACTGACACAACTATGTGAATGTTAAATCTATTCTCTCACTAACAGTAAATAGATCACTCATTCTTGCATTATGATTTGTAAGCTTTACTTGCTCCTCTAGGGATCGCAGGTCACTGACAAATGTCCTCCACCGCACTCGGTTTTTGGCAGTTCTTTCGAGATCCCCCACGCTGATCTACCTCCCAGACATTTCTGCCTGGACACCTCTCCTCCAGTCGTTCCTGTGGTGACCCCCTTCCAGTTCAGGGTGTTGTGGTTTCATTTTTCTTGCCTCAATGCACCTCAGTTGATGTCTATCTGACTTTTAGCTATCTGACTATAGTGAGAGACCACAAACTCCCACTGAAGGTTTCCAGAAGAGTGACACTGAAGTGACACCATTTCTTATTATGTTGGTCTGGTTAGTTGTGTCCTCGCTTTGGGGATATGTGGCTGTTCTGCCGGTGGCGGCCAGCAGATCATCATAAGCCACTGTAATAAGTCTTGCACTCTATTTATCACACTACAACGCAAAGTTGTTAAATTGGACTTTTGGAACCAACAGGCCAACAGATTGGACAGACCTCGTGTCTCTTGACAAGCCAAGTCATCCTTCTTCTCACACATAACTGCCTGCTATTCTACACTGAATTTGGCTTGTTTTTACATGTTAATTCCCTCTTCGGTAATTTCTTCTTCCTGTAAAGCATTTCGTAAACTCTGCTTAAAAAATATAAGCAAAATATAAAAATATTCTTGGAAAATTACATGCAGGTATATTGAGCATATTTAATGAGTCATTTTGATAATTCTCCCAAAAAGCAGTGTTGAGGTTTGGCTATCTCCCTTTTTCTGCATCTTATATTAAAATGTATTTTGCACATTACAAGTATAACATGTTTTTCTTTCTTTTTAAGCTTTTTAAGTGATCGTAGCAGTTCGCAAAAAGAATCTTTCAGATACAGCTGCAGAAATTAGACAAAAACAAGAAGCAAAAATCATTATTTCTAATGAGTACGTGCCATTTTTTCCCCAAATGTTTTTGTCCGTAGTTTCAGTTTCTGTCCACTTCCTGTAATCTGCTTGTTCATTCTCCTGTGGAAGGTGCATACTCGCTGAGACAATGTCCAGTTATATGTTTCCTTGCCATAAGCAAGAGAATATTTAATAATACGTATGAATCTCTACAACCTTCAGGGATTATTCCCAGTACTGCAATCTTATTTACAACGATATCTCCAAAACACTGGAGTATTAAATGTTGATGGGTCTTAATAAAAGCAACCCAAAGAGGCCTTTTAGCATACTGGCTTGATTTTGTAAGAGAAGGAGCAAAAACTTAATGAGAAATTACTCTATTCGATGGACTCGCCTTGAGCACAGAACAAAGGGAGAAAATGTCTGTTGACATGAAAAAAGTTGTTGTACTGAACCCAAAATGTGCACCTGCATTTCTTCTTCTATCAGTGTGCCAGTTGTAATAAAAACCTGAGGTTGGTTCTATGGGTGGCCATTAAACTCCTTTGCAGGATAAAAAAAAAAAAAGACTACAGAAACAATTGCCAACACACCTTTGGCAAAACACAAGCATCACATGAAGTAGAGATCTTCATAATTACTCTAACACACCTGTCAGCCATCACTGTTAGTGCGTGCCCACATACGAGTGTGTGATATGAGCCTTCAACAAACCAGCTGACGAGAGAACTACCAGGCTTTCTGTCACCTTCAATGATCCTCAGATCACTGAGCCCGCATGTCATCCCTTCCCAATTAGAGAGTCATTATTAGGACCCGCCGCCGGCCATGACAGATGGCGTACGTCAATGGTGCGACTTAAGTGGGATTTGAACCAGTGACCTTTTGGCCCTCGGAGACCAGGCGCTCGGTTGCTGGCAACAATCTCCCCTTTCTGGTGCTTGGAGGGCCGGCGGACAAGGGATCGGAGCAGCGAGGGCGAAGCTTGTAATTACAGCCAAAAAAAAAAAAAGTGCTGTGTAAGAGCAGACTCCAGCTGTGGCTCTACAAGGTATTAACCTCGGCTCGGCGTGACGAGGAACCCGCTCTTTGATGAACCACGCTGAGGTTATCAGTCAGGTCTGTTTACGACTGTTATTGGGACTGATTGAATTGTAAAGGAGTGTTAACTGATGTTTGTGTCTGATGTTTGAGAAGCCAAGGGAGAGCTAGACTGCCTGACTCTTGACCTTTCACCTCTGACCTCAACAACAGAGCTAAAACCATGACATCACCTCCACCAGAGCGACGAGCTGAACCCGAAAAAAAAAAAACTCTTCTAAACATCACGGCGCACTGTTTAAAATTCCACTTTTACACTAAATTATTAACAAATCCAACAAAATAACAAGCCATACTTTTTGTAGATACAACTCTCTCTGACGCACGTTTTTCTGGCGTCCTCTCACCAACATGAGTCAGCTGTGTTGTAAAGTGTTCAACAGCCTTGCTGAGCGCACTAAGTCATGTCAGGGTGAGCCCAAGAATGCTACTCCTTGGTCTTCCTCTAAATCGTGTTCCTGGAAGTGATAGAGAGGGCCTGGTCTGAGGCAGAGATAAACTTCAAACAGCCAGGAGGATATGACTGCCACTGATCACACACTCCAGGCCTGCCGGAGCACTTGGCCCCGCACACACAAACACAAACCTCTACGCGCGCACTCACACACGTCACAGGCCTGCTTAGTATGTCATCCAGGTGTAAATTATATTAACCATTCACCAACACATGGAATCTATCTGTGCATCTTTTGTCTGTTAAACATTCGAGCTATCCTTTTAAAGGATTAACCAGCCATACCGTTGTTTGGGAAGCTCGCTCAAATCATGTTGAAGTTTTAAAAAAAGAAGCTTTTTGTTCTGATGTGATGTGAAGGAGGTCGTCCTACCTGTCCCCATTCGCCAGGGATCCAGCGAGGAGGAGGACAGCGTCCTAAACTGCAGCGGATTCGGACCGGAGGTTTGTTGTGGCTCGGGCAATGGGTGGGCGGGAAGGTCTTGGTCAGGTCACTGCTCTTACACAAGGCGATGCGGTGCTTGAAGCCGGGGCCACATTTAGGCGTGCACTGAAGAGGGAGGAGGAGGTGTGAGAAGAGCATCTTGACAGCACAGTGAGCTGAAGGTAGTTTTAGGATGTTGTCTCACCTCTGACCAATCCAGAGTGACCCACTTCGGTGGGCAGGACTGGTTGTTGCACGACTCTCGTTCGATGGGGCGGTGAGTCAGACAGTGGGTGTCCTCCAGTGTCTCCTCCTCAGCAGGGCCAATCTTCCTGATACACAGCACCGTCCTCGTCCTCATCCCGCCGTCACAGGTCTTCCCGCACTCCGACCAGTCGCCAATAAACCACCTGGAGGAGAGAAACGTGTGTGAGCGCTGTCTCAGTGGCGTTAATCTATATAGCAGTGTGTTATACTCCCTGTGGCTACTTCATTACAAACAAGCTTTTGGTAATTATAGTGTAAAATCACATTATGGTACAGCACTGCAAAAAAGAAACCTCAAGAAAGTGAAAAAGTCTTGTTTCTGGGAAATGAGTCTTAGGTCTTTTGTCTGAAAAGAAAAATAATCTTGTCGAGCATGTTCTGTATTAGAAATAGTGATCTCCTTTTAAGAAAATACATCTTACTTTGTCTTAATATGATATTACAGCAAGATTTAACCAGTAACAAGTTAAAACAATGGTTGCATAATATCCCAGCAGAGATTATTTTCCTTATTTTAAGAGTAATACCACTCGCACAACTTCCCAGTTTGAGAGAAAGTCGTCTCGTCCCAGTGTTGGAAATGAAGCAGCGGTTTAGTTTTTCATTATTTAATAAATAATACTAAAAAAAAGAATGCGTCTTGTGCCTTAATTTAAGACAAAGTCACTTAGATTTATTATGCTGTTTGAAGAAATTGAGTGTCTTTACCGAACAGGAAGAGCAATAAAATGTCCCAGAAACATGTTCCTGTTTACTTCTTCTTTGGTCCTGATTTGAAGCCTTTTATTTATTCTACATTTAGCATTTTATTTCCATCATGTCTCATCTTTATTAGAGTACAGGTAATTTACGACTTGTTTTAATGCAAGTATTTATCTTTCTTCTTGTATTCCACCTCATTTCTGTATAATTGACTAATTTATTTCGGAAAAGTTCTTCTTATCATATTTTTCTAAGTCAGGTAGCGAAAAAAAGCAGTATTTGTGGTTTTGGTACTCTACGTATCGTATCGGCACTAAATTTTAAACCCAGGTCCACAGATCATCCTCAGGGGCCCCCGCAGGCCCAAGGTTTACTGTGTGTCAACAGGTTTGTGGTAATTTGATTAACTGCAAATTTGTTTGGGAATACGCTCCACCAAAGTACAATATAAACTGAAAGCGGTATTGAAAAGGTGAAAAGGTGGGGACTAAAGGTATCCTATGGAGTGCCATGGAGCTGTTTTTTTATGAGTGGGTCCCCGTTTTGTTTGTCTTGTGCACGTGCACGAGGGCGCACATGTACCTGTGGGTGACGCGATACACATTCCTGTCAGTGCTTCCACTATAGTGCACTATTTCACTGAGCTACATGTGGCAGCAAAGCACCAAGAACCACTGCAAGAATAAATCTTCTTAGCAAATGTTTTATGAGAATGGTAATACATTAAACACTCATGGATGTACAATGAGTTTTGAGTAATGTAAAGAAGTAAAGAAAGATAATGTCAAACTATTACTTTAATAGCATTGAAACTTTGTGTACTATAAGAAACAGCCTCATTTTTGTAGTATTGTAGCAACATCTTAAGTTAGCCACATAGGCAAAAATATGAAGATGATTTTGGACACCTGGATGAATTATCTTAATTTGAAGATTTCTAAATTCATTAAAACATGTATGATGCAAATGTGACCTAGCAGACCGGTAAACACCATATTGTTGAGCGTGCCACACCACTGAGCTTTTGACCTCCAGAAAATTAGGCCCAGTCTTATTCAACCCTTTGTCTACAGACTCCAGAATTAATATGATAAAACTGCCCAGACAACAGCCCTCCAAACACATCCAGCCTGTGAGATATTACATCATCTGAAGGAATGTATACACAATTAACGACGTGTTCAAACATCTGTGTTAGCTTTCATTACTCGGGCCCATAAAACCCTGGCTATTCTAAAACAATCGTGTTTACATGGTCTCTTTTAGTCGTCCTTTCCTGAGGCTGCAGAAGGGGTGTTTGCCTTTCTAACAGACACAAATGTCAAGTGTGCACAGTAACTTAATACACACACGTGCACTGCAACTGCCTTCAAATACTAATCAAAATAAATGAGATACCACAAGTCTGCGTCCACTGAATACAGATGTGAAAATAAATAACCCAAGACTGTAGTCTGAATGTATGAAAACAAATTACCACTTATACAGTAGATTTATGATACTATCAGTTTTTTTGGCCGAAACCCAGCTGACAGACACCAACACTCACTCTCATACACAAATAATTATCAAATAGTCTGAAACTAATTAACCTGATGCATTTAATCCCTCTTTTTCCAGACGTGATTGAAGTGAGTCTGGCTACGCTTACAGCTAGTGTTGGGCTTACAGACATTTGGCCACCAAACACAAGTTCATATTCCACCTGTGTACGTGTATATTACCCCTCGAGGATCGGTAAAGAAGCCAAAACAATCAAACACAGGTGGTCATTTTCAGGGCTCTAATTTTTGGCACGAGGCAAACACTGAAAATAGTTAACATATGAAGTTATAAATCACTGCCATTTTATTTTATTATTTTCTTCCAAACACATTTCACAAACTAGGGCTCATTGATATCATGAGTCATTTTTATGGAGCGTTTTTCTTTTGAAACTTAAAGCTGCTGTACTCAATATTTTTAAATTAACAATGGATCGAATGTCTATGCGTAATGTGAAAGGTGTAACTCGTACTGACAAACCTACCGACAATTATTACCTGACACAGTTCGCCTCAGCTCTGTGGAGCGTTTTAGCATCTTTAAGCTAATTATTTCAGCAGTTTTATGGCCCACAACTTTACTCTTTAGATTCAGATTTTGTTCCAGATGCATCAGGCAGCAGTTTTGAGCCCAAAAAAGAAACAATACTTGCACAACACAATAGGAGGAGATGAAGTTTGCAACTAGCTGGTGAACATATACAACAACAACATGGTGAATATAAACCAATAAACAGCCAAATATTTCCTTCAGGAGTTGGTGGAGACCAAAACAGAGGTAAAAGAGAGTGAATATTGGACTTCCTCATCATGGCTTCAAATGAAAGCTAATGTTGCTCAGTATCTGCTGCACAAGTAACTAGGCAACTGTTTACTAACATGTTTGTCATATTACCTTAATAAGGTGATGATATGTGTGATAAAGTGTTTACAGTTTGTTTCAGCTGCCCTTTTTGATACTTTATATTAAAACCTCTTTTTTCATATGCAAAAGAACTGAATTTAGCTGGAAAGCAGAAAAATGAAAGAAAAGTTTATTAATTAATCAACATAACATAATCGACGGCGATTTTGATAATCAATTAATCATTTCAGTCATTTATTCTCTGTTTCAAGCTTCTTAAATGTGAGAATTTGCTGCTTTTTGCTGTCTTATATCACTGGAAATTTAATATATATTAGGGTTTTGTACTGTCACCTTGTGCTCTGGGAACTTGTGATTGGCATTTTTCATAAATTTTTCACAATCAATCTATCAATTGATAATGAAAATAATCAAGACTCAGCCATACGTACTCTGGAGGACACGACTCAGTGTTGCAGTCTCTCTGGTTCTCTGGAGGTTTGTTGTCTGGGTCACAGTAGCTGTTCTGGACCACCGAGTTATCATCCAGCCTCTTACACACCACTTCCTGCTTCTGGGAACCTGCAGGGGACGACAACGATCAATAAGGGCAGGCTCGGAGCTCAGCTGATATCGCAGATTAAAACCCCCATTTAGAAACATGGAAGGCCGGCTGCCGTGTATGAGCGCTGTGTTTGAGTGGAGATGGTATCGCTTTCAGCCTGTAGTAAATCCAGACATGTAAATTCCTGATTCTTTGCAGGATATCTTGGCAAATCACTTTTACAGAGCAGAGAGCTCTTTACTTTGGCTTCTAATGGAGAGAGTGAGGGCTACCGTATCGGTGTCACACCTCCCACTGTGTGTGTGTGTGTATGTGTGTGTGTGTGTGTGTGTATGTGAGCATGCATGTGTTTTCTATGTGTGTGTGTGTGTGTGTGTATGCCATACCAACTCAGAAAGGGTCTGTTTGGGCCCTCGTGGGACATATCCCACAGCAGACTTGTCTGGCAGTTGTAATGAGATATGGATGTGTGTGAGTGAGTGTGTATGCGTGAAGTATAGAAAATCTACCCATCTGTGCTTCAAGTGAAATACAGTTTGGAGGAATAACGCGAAGCATGGGGTAACAGCTTCAGTTGTAAGGTTGTCAAAAGGTGTTTTTCATAGGTTTTATTACTATAGTGATATATTAAACAACACTTTGTGATTAGCTGAGCTAGCTGTATCGAATGGGTGCGTGATTAAATAACATTTTTACTGATTTAAAGCTTAGCACGGTTGGAGACGCACAGTAGACACAAATTAGATAATTTGGATCAACAATGCAAAGGCATGTTTACAACACTGGAAGGCCATGTGTGCTTCCCCATCTAAGGAATAGATTCAAACTTCTGCTCTGGACTTGGAAATCCTTCCTCAGAGAAACCCACATGCTTATTCAGTCATGCTTTTACAAAATATTACAAACCCGTCCAGGCCACACTTGACAACTGGGAAGAAACACTATTTATTGTTACATGAAACCCATTGCTTTTGGGCTAAAAGGTTTGGTTTAGTCATTCTTGAGGCCATGGTCAACATTTCACTGCGGTTTCAGATTTTGAATGTTTGACTTTGTAGGACAAGCGCTCCAGAAGAGTGGCTGTATCTGTGTGCAGCGCTGGTAAACCAGAAGCTATGCAGAGCAGCTCATTCACAGAAATTAGACCATATTCATTACTCTGGCTAAAATATGGAAAATATACATATTGAATTTATTAGAGGGCTGAATCTCCAGCTATAAAGTAATGATTTTGGAAACCCATCGCAAATTATGATACTGGGTTTCCACACACGGCTCTTCAGCATTTGTGTAATTATTGGTTGGGTAAGATTTACAGAATGACACACGCACACACAAGATATGAAGTATTAAATATTTCAGAAGGTTAGAAATATTCAAGAAGAATTTAAACACCCACAGCGTGTTATGGTATTCAACACCAAAATGCTTGGAGTGCTCTTTTTCAAAAGGCAACCGGCCACTGGAGCTCAGCAGAAGGTCGACATAGAGAGAAGACGGTATTCTTCTCTCATAGAAAAATACATTTTAATAATAAAAACTTGTACAGCAGTTGTATAAAATCAGTTTTTTGTGAAGCACTTTTCACACAATAAATACTAGAATTTATTAATATATATATTAAAAATCATGTAACATAGGAAACAATTCTAAAATTGGAGAGTTTTGGCACCTGACAGACACCTGACAGGAGAAGAAAGTAGCTGTGATTTAATCAACAGTAAATAAATACATGAAAGATATTTTTTTATATGAGCTGCTGATTGTAGAGGTTTAATTTTCAACACAAAGTGTTTCTGTGCACCTGTTTTTATGCACATTTTCAACTTGGGAATAAAAAAGCTGAGAGGAAACACTGGAAAATTGAAAAAGAGGTCAAAAGATTAGAAAGACGTTTTTACTCTTGGCTGAGATGGAATAGTTTTTGTATCATGTGTATCCATCACATTTAAAATTTCATGTTTGTTTGTCGAGGTTTGTATTGGTGGTTGTTTAATTACATTACAATGGTTCATTGGCACCCAACTGGAAAATTAACACCAACTACTAATGTTTGTGTTAGTATTGGATGGAAACGCATTAATTCACATTTTATTTTGCGGATTTTCTGGGAATTCCATTATAATTTGCACTAAATTTGTATAAAAGCTTGCATACAACAGGCTGCAGCTATGTTGCTGGGACCATTAAAGGAGGAAACATAGCTGCAGTCAAGCCTTGCAGTGCTGACTTACCTCCAGCGCAGGTAGCCGAGCATTCAGACCAGGGCAGGTGGTGCCAGGAGAAGCCCACCTCGTTGTCGCCACTTCCTGTGCGCTGGATGGGCACGTTGAACTTGTAGCGTATTCCCATGTTCTGTTCCTGAAGGAGGACCTGCAAAGGGGGAAGCAAACAAAAGGTGAGGACAGAAGAAGGGAAACAACTGGGAAAAAATAAGAAGGTAGGTACATTTAGTAAAATGTCTGTGCTCATTAATCTTCATCTGATTTTTTATCCATTCACAAAGAGTTGAGTCTTAACATGTATATTAAATACAATAATTTCTTGGCCACTTACTTAGATACCAAGCAACATTAGCATTTATTTGGAGTCGTGTTTATATCTGCATGACAAATTTAAGTCCAGTATTGACTGTTTTATCTCTGTTTTGGTCTCCACCAACTCCTGAGAAAAATGTCTCTTTTAAATCTTTACCTGTTATATGCTTCACTATGTTCACCAGCAAGTCTCTAACATTGTCTGTCATTTGATGCAGGTAGTTTGTTTTTTAGCTTTAGTGATAAGAACAGCTGATAAGAGCACAAACACAATGAGCTGAAAGATGCTAAAAAGCTCTACAGAGTTAAGAGGAACTATATGATCAGGTGATAACTCTGTGTGGGACCTCATTCACATTACAGACAGTGATTTGGACCATTGTTTAGAAACAAATATTGATTAGATGAGCTTTAAATGCAGTTTGAACAATCTGGATCAGGCTCTGGTGGTTTATATTAGTCTGCTGGATGCAGAGGGAGACTGAGGGAGTCGGGCTTTGCAAGCCGCAAAGAAATGGCTAGTGGTCGAGTGGCCAGTTGCTCGTCTATTCCAGCGGTGCTGTGTGGTCTGGTATTTTCAGCATTCATGTCAAGGCAGAAACCACCGAGTATTACGACAAGAAAATGCTCAGTTGCCTCACATTAACACACACAGCGGCACACAAACGTGCAGAGAAAGAAGTGCACTCACTATTTAACATGCACAAGCGAGGTCCAATACAACAACACAGACGGTCACCAAATCAAGTGACATTGGGTTTGCACTCAGCCAAGACATTTTTTTTTTCAATATCCACAAATAAATAGCTTTTAACCCCAAACCACTGGCTGAGGGTCATCCAAGGTTAGCAGCCAGATGTTGAGTTTAAGACAGACCAAAATACAGCATAAAATGCACAAGATGACCAAAGAAGCACAACCATAAAGTGAGATGAGTTGTTTCAAGTGTCCAAGTTTCTGGAAGTTAAAGTTCCATTCATTTTCTGCCTAGACAATGTTAGTTGAATGGCAGCTGGAGCATTTCCATGGCTTGGATGGAAATCAAACTCACAAGATGAACAACTGTGTTAGACTGTATCTGCTTCTTTGAGGTACGAGCCTGTGTACATAAAAACATAAAGGTACCCTGTCAAGTTTTTGGCCACTAGTATCTTTGTTTGTATCTCACGCAGTGATGCAAGGCACATTCCTGCCTTTGGGTTCATTTGTGCCAGCAAAAGCAAAGGAAGACTTCTAACAAGCAAACATGGATGTAAACAATGCAGCTTTCAAAATGAGTTTATTGCATTCGACACATTTGCTGGATGTGGATACAAACAGTGCCTGATTTGGATCCAAAAAGGTGCCAGTAGCCTAATTTATAACATAACCCTAACCCTAAATGTTTTGGTGTTTTTAATCCTCTTTAATAAAGACAATTTTAGTACTGTTTTCATAGCGTTAAGGTGCAGTTACACAATACCTCACCAGCCCTGTATGCAGGGTTTTAGAAATACAGAGGTCCGAAAACTAAACTTGCTAGCAGGGTTTGGGGGCATCAAAGTAGTTCTTTTTAGGCAAATATTTAACAATTTTTATTGTATACCCCTCAATTCTCTATAAAAACTCAATACAAAAAGGGGACAAAAATCTAAAGTGAGTACCTGCCCATTTCAGCCACTGAGTACATGTGATGTGTTTGCTCAATATAAAAATAACTTCTATTTACAAGAAAACTCCACCGGGTACCTTTAAAGAGAGAAGTCAGTTTCACTTTTGAGGTAGTGAGAAACATCTGATCACTGAGCTGAAGATGGTGATGCATGCCCCGCTGCCAGTCAGCAGAAACCAAGCATTATATTTCCTGGAAACCTGATAAAACATTCAGCACCTTAAATCAGGTCACTGAGAGATTCTGGGTCAATCTGGCAACCATGGCACAGTGATTTGTTCCTGACAAAACATGTTCCTGCCTCTGAGTAGCCTCTTTTTTATAGCAGTGGCTGAGGCTAATGGGTATTGTAGTATTTAGAGCCAGGAAAAACATGTTTTCTAAGAAATAAAGGACACACTTGGAAGGCAGAGCTGTATTCAAATGGTTGCAGCTTCACTACTAGATACCACTAAATTCTACACAATGGTCCTTTAAAATGGCTAGAATCAATATTTTTATAACAACAATGTAGGAAAAACAATATGAGTGTAAAAGAGGTTTCTCATAGTGATAAACCTAGAGAGAATGATCACCTGAATCTGCTTTTATGGAGCTTTATAGTTAGTTTCAGCTCATGGCTTATCTGTCAGACCACAGCTTTACTGTTTTGATTCACTCTCACTGACTAGCTTGTGAACACAGCGGAGCAATTAGCTGCTAAAGAGCCAGATATTTCCCTCAGGAGCTGGTGGAGACCAAAAACAGAGCTCAAAGAGAGTGAATATTGGACTTATATTCATCAGGTGGACACAAAAACGACTCCAATGAATGATAATGCTGCTTTGTAACTGCTCGACTGTCTGCTATATCAACTTATTGCAGGTTTAAATTGTCCCGTGTTTCTATGTTGAGGATACCGTTAAAAGAAAACTCAAATCTGAATAAAGTAAGTAAACACTTTCTATCATTTACAATCAATTATTATTTATTACCATGACAATCAGGTTTTCAGTGGTGGCTCCCAGCGCCTCTAAAGACTCCGGTTCATCAGAGGGTCTCTTGTAGTGGAAGGCCGTCCCCGCAATGTCAAACTTCCTGGGCCAGTCGATGGTCCACGCTCCATTGATGTAATAATCATCCCCTTCGGATTTCAAAGCTAGGAAACCACAGAAAATACTTTTAGAAAGCCGAAATCAAAAGCAGACTAGGAACGGTAGCTGAGACAACAGGTGGAGGCAATCATCCGCTGTGATGTCACTGCCATTGTTCATCTTCATCATCATCATTTTCAGCCTCTCCGATGTCACTGACAACTTTCTATCCCTCCACAGACTGAGTAGAAACACACACACACACACACAGATTCACGTGCACCGACATGTACATACGTCTAATTTAGGAAGAGAAAGAAAACACACTTCAGGTGAAACCCTGGACGAATCTCATGAATACCACTCTGTCTGGTTGTCAAAACAAAAGTTGGTCTCCAACCACAACAGATCTGAAAATATCCACTTTCTCTGCGTTGAAATGGGGCCAAATTGAGGAGAAACGATCCAACCCGCTTGCTATTCTGTCTCTCTGGCTCGTGCTCTGCAGCTTTTTAACGCAGATTGGATGAAACAATAGTTTGCTCCTCTATAACATATCGCAGTCCCCTTCTCAGTACATTCATTTCCAGCACTAATTGTGAGCATTGTGATTTGGTTATTTTGAACAGTGCAGCTCTATTTTTCTCTCTCTTTTTATACTGTCATGCTTACTTTTTGCTTTAATAAAACATTAACAAGGCAAACTTTGCTGACCTAAATAGCAAGCAGTCAGACAATGCTGCAAAAGAAAAATATTATCTTCATCACTGGGGGTCACAGATGAAATTCATAACAAAATTACAAATTGCTTGGAAGGGAAAAACTAGTCCAACACAATAGCCAAAATTGCACTCTTTAAACTTTGATATATAGACATCATATCCCCCATAATCCTGGTGGACCAGGCAGCTGTCACCACGGCCCTATAAATCTGATGCAGCTCTCCGGTTCAAAGTGTAACTTAAGCCCTCCATCAACACCATCCGCTATAAATTCAACACGCTGTCACACGTCTTTCTCTTGTTAATGAAAGGACACAGAACTGGCTTAATTGAATCCGGTTGTTTGATTGTTTTGGGTCTGACGCTGCCAGTGTTGCAAATAGTTTTTGTTTAGTCTGGAACAGAGTGGATGAGTCTGGTGCCAAGATGGCCATCACATGTGTTAAGATTCAGGATTTTTTTTTTTTTTTTTACAGACCCTGTTTTATGGCTTCACATTAGGCAACAGGAGATTAAACGATGGCATCTTCTAATTTGCCCTTGCCAAAACTCAAGGAAATCCCAGGAAATGTGGTTGACACAGAACTGAACAGATAATAAGAAACAGCTTGATGTCGCAAATTCACAGTGCAGTGAGCTACAGGCTCTGCTGACATTGATGGATTGATAGTGAAACAAGACTAAGAGTCTACAGCCACACGAGACTGTACTTAAGACACAGTGGGGCTTGAAGCTAAATGCTAAAGTCATCAAGCTAACATTCTCACAGTGACAATGATAGCGTTCATACGTTTACCAACTTAGAGTCACGTTGGTGGAGTACGGGAAAGGGAGGTTCGCTCTGTCAAATCCTTCTTTTAGTGGAAGTGGAGGCCATATTGAATTTGAAGGCATTAGGTTATGTTGTATCTAGTACACTGGTTCCTAAACTATGGTACTTTGTGATGCAGATCCATCACAAAGTTGTTGAGAAATTAAACTAAAAGACAAAAATGTTGACCTCATGGTGGTGCTAGATGAAAGGTCAGGTGATCACCGAAGTCAGTGGGATTCATCCTCTGGGGGCTGCGAATCTTTACACAAAATGTCACAGCAGTCCATCCAATAGTTGTTCATATCTTTCAGTTTGGATCTAAGCGGTGGGCAGACAGACATCCTACGCCGCTAGCATGGCTTATAAAACCAAAGTGAAACAAAAGTGAAACAAAAGTGAAACAAAAGTGAAACAAAAACCTAATTCTAAACGGGACTCGACCATTTCAAGGCCGTCACTTACCGATATAATTCTTCGACATGGCAAGTTCTTTGACCTCGATGTGAACCGATCCTTTTGGGATCTGAACCACCTCCATGTAGCCTGGAAGACAAGGACAGGGCTTGTTAAGGTGGTATTTTTTCCCACTCAACCCCCACCACCTCGCGAGAAGACAGAAAGGTACATATCATGTTAGGTAGGAGTTCATATAGGATAAATTCAAAACCACCCAAAAAGGACAAAGCAGGAGGACAAAACAATCCCCTCCTTTTTTTACAGTCACACACACACACACAGTATTTTTAGATGGTTTACTAGCCATACCATAGAAGGAGAAATATGTTTTCTCTCTCTCTCTCCTGCTCTCTATAGACGACTTCAGGCTAAAGCCAGCACCATGTCCCTATCTCCTACGGCAGATTCCTTCACTCCATGATGTAATTAATGGGAAAAATATTATGTTTTGATCTATATTCTGACAACTTAATTCTAAATAGGCCAAAACATATGCTCTGTCGGTGGGTGACAAAGGCAAAAAAAAAAAAAAGGCACATTTCCATGAAAGATTATCTTCCTGGCTTCAAGGATGTGTTGGCTTTTCGTCAAAAGCCACTTCGCCAAATGGACGATGAGTTACTTTGTTTTCTTCACAGTCATCTCCGGTGACTTTAAGTTTGTCACATGTGGTCATCAAACCAAAACACACTATCTCTGCTCATCCTTTTCACACTAAGTGAATCAAAGAAGCCTGAAAGCTGCTGTATAATAGATCAGTGGAGATATAACAGAAACCTGAGATGACAGGATATCTAAGTCCCTCTGGAGGACATATGTTTTACCTCCTCTGGGGAGAGACTCGTTGAAGAGTCCCTCGGTCGCCTCGCAGGTGCTGCCGTCGCCTCCACACACGCGGCACCGGTCTTCTTTAGCATCAGAGCTCAGGATGTTGTCGCAGCCTACATGCTTTAAAACCAACACACAAAATCAGAGAATGAGCATTGATTTAATTTAAGACTGAACAATGGATTTGGGATTGAAAGCATTTTTACTGTTAGAAACAATGGGAATAGTTTCACATTTTGGAATATACGTTCACTTTCTTGGGTTAGATGAATTAAATACGAAGGTAAAGCCAGCAGCCATTTAGCTTAGCAAAAAGACTGGAAAAGCAAAGGAACAGCTAGCTTGGCTCTGCTAACAACATCCACCGACCGGCACCTTAGGGCCCTGATGGCATGGCACCAAGCTACCTGGGTGAGCTTATCACCTGTTAGTGATTCCTCGGTCAAGACTGAAGACCAATGGTGACAAGGGTGTTTGTTCTGTTCGGGCTCCAACCCTTTCCTCTACCTGAGGAACTTCATTGCCTCTTTTAAATCATCTCTCAAGACTTTTACAGATTGGCTTTTTCTTAATTATTGTATTATTTTATCTGTTGTTTTATGTCTATGTTTAGCTGTTTTTATATAATGGAGTTTAAGTTTTAGACTATTAAGACTCCAGTTTCTAGATGGATACCACATAACCGTGAGCATCATGTTGTGTATTAATCCACTTAAGAAAATAGTCCTCAATAAATGCACTCCAGTTTTTGTAACATTTTTAATGAAACTATATAACTGTGAGCTGTTTTTAAAGTTTTACTTATTCATTAGAGCTTATGGGCTTGAGGCTGCAGACAGGGTTGGAAAGTCATAAACTACTGAGACACAGACTAACACATCATTGGTTTTGGTCTTTTTAGAGGATTTGTTGACAATAAGAAAAATACAGAACAACGTCAGACTGATCCTTTAACACAGCTACGTCGATACAAGCAGCTGTAATTGCTGGTAACTTGGCAGCTTTGGTTTTTACATATAAAACATATGAGATGTCATAAAACATGATGGTCTCTGAGTGTTTAAACTAGACGGACTAACAGATAATAATGTGTTGGCTTCAAATAAATTTTAATATGGAGGCCGTATGGAGCCCATTAAATGTTTATCTGTGCTCAGTTTGTAGTGATTGCTTCATCGGTACTTGATTGGTAATGCCTCGGAGCGTCAAAGGTGGAACAGCGGTGTGCAGAAGATTTTGATTGAAGGTAAGATTTTCATTATTTTTGAATTATTTTTCCCCCTTTAAAGGCTGCAACACCAGCAGTATATGGGCTCATTAGTGGATCTGCAATATTCAAATATTTGTTACATGTTGGGCCAACGGTCTATGGTTGAGTCTACTGCGATATATATAAGGAACTATTTGAATATTTTTAACACATTTTACATTAAAAGAAACATACATTTGTGACTCTTTGTTATAGTGTTGAGTGTACTATATGTTTACAACAATGTACACGATTTTGCATATAACTTTTATATAAAAGTTATTTATTATATAGTTTTAAGCATCTCGTGATGACAAGACTGAGTTTTGTTGTACAAGTGCAACAACAGAACATAACTGAACCACAGTATAACCATGCTTGCTGCTTTGCTGTGTCTAAAATCACTCCCTCATTCACTACTTAATATAATAGATACTCAGTAGGTCACTCTACAGCAAGCAGTAAATATCAGGAAGGGGGCTAAATAACACTCCAACTTTAGGCAAAATTTTGGTGATGGAAAAACTGGCATGGCCATTTTCAAAAGGATCCCTTGACCTCTGAACTCAAGATATCTGAATGAAAATGGGATCTATGGGTACACACGAGTCTCCTGTTTGCAGACACTTCTTGCTAATCCCATGCAGTTTCTTGCATGTGGTAAATGGGTTAATTTCGCTTAGTGTATTTGAGTATTTCTGCATGCTGGGGTCCCTAAACAGTATTGGAATAAATTAGGTTAATAAAGTCAGTGCCCCTCTTGTGTTACCCCAGTCAAAAAAAGTCTGGAAACGCCCCTGATCCATAATTAAAATAACTGTTAGCAGCAGACAGACACTTCACAGAGCATAAATTTCAGTAAGATGGCAAACATAAATTGTGCTGTACTATTATAATAAACAGGGAGTGACTGTTCCAGTCAGTAAACTGTGTGATAACAGCTTTATCAACTGTGTGTTAATGCTGTGTGACAATACAACTGGGAGGATTCCTGTTATCACCAACACTTCCACTGCCTCCTTTGGATCTCCCAGTTCTTTCTACTCTCACTATTTCCCCCCTCTCTCCCTCTTTCCCGTTCTCTCTCTCTCTCTCTCTCTCTCTCTCTCTGTGTGTCTCTCCAGCACCTGCAAACAGCAGAGCAGTTTTGAGTGTTTCTGAAAGCTTTCCAAGCAGACAGTGTTCTAGAGATTTATCACAGGGGGGCAGTGAACCCGGAGAGCCAGCCTCTGAAATAAAACGACACGCTGGATTCAGACTGGAAATAAACCTGCAATGCTGCTTTGGTAGGGAATATTCCACCTCTCAGAGTTCTCTTCCCATTAAAACACACACCATGTTGTGTTTTTATATTAGAATCAGAGTAATGTTGTTGGCACCGACGCCACGTGGTCATGCCAAACAGGAATCAAATTGTACGGTCAGGTGGAAGTCAAAGCAAATACTTAAAGCGAGCAACCAAAAAGTTATTTCAGCTGCATCTCAGAAAATACAACGAAAACCCCCTCATCTCCACATACACACACAAACTGTACAAAAATGATTTATGCTCTTGAAAACAAAGACAGCACCAACTGCCAACTCCTTTCAGTAAAATGTTATTTTGCCTTGTTATTAAATCAGCCTTTTCAAATATATATAAAATCATTATTCAATCAAAACAATGATTTGTTGTGTTTTATTTATCACAAAACAATCCTGGTCGAGGCTGCAAAGCCGTGATAAGAGTAAGAAAAAAAAGAGCAATGCCAGTCATGTGATCACAATCAGCCACAATCAGCAACTCAAAGGCTTGATTGTTCTTCACTGGAGAATGGTGCAGTTCTGTGCTTCGGCAGTCGTGTTTACGCAGTCAGTATCTCGCTAATTGTGTTGCTGGAGATAAAGACTAGCACAGAGGCTGAGGAAAGCAGAGCTAGCATGTCACTCTAGCTGTAATTTGAAATACTATCAGGGCTGTGTGTCATTGTGTTATCTCATGGCGGGAGATGCATGCTTTTTTTATTGCATCTGACATGTATTTCTCATGCAAATCAATCTTCATACTGAATTCAGTTTGGCACGGGGCCAGTTAATGCATCAACATGTCATTTCATATTCTGCAAATTTGAGTTGAAAATTTCTCGTCAAATAGAATTAAACTCATTAAAATCATTAAGTCATACTTTATAAACCTAATCATAATCATTGAGCTTCAACCTTTTTTTTTTAACAAACCTTGGCAGACTGAAAACTTCAGTTTAATAAAGTACAACTTGGCTTTTATTTATTGGCTATGAAAACATTTGTGCTCATCAAAATAATGTGGCCACATCGCCAGTGTTAGATCCAGTGGGGCAGTAAAGACAAGCCAGCAGACGATCAGACAGCCACTTTATTTGGAGCTAAAACTGAAAATGATCTAAAAGTTTCCACAAGTTAGTTAGGACAGGTCAAAGTTTAAACAGGAAGTTGGTCAGAGGTGAATATTATGTCACACATTTCTGTTTTTTTTTTTCCGGTATTTTCTCACCAAAATAAGTCTGATTTAACTTGGAGTTTGTACAAGTGTCCTGAGCTTCTGACTGCTCCTGTTTGTTGCCCTGCTGTTATAAACCGTCCAGTTTTTTTAAGACCTCAATAAAAGAGAATAAAACCGAAATTGGCAGAGCATCCTAAATCTTTTCATCGTGTGGATTTGGGTTTATAAATGACTTTAAGGATCATATATGCCAAAGCACTGCTCCCTTACCTTACACTCTCCATTGATGCAGATGTCTAGAGAGTCAGCCTGACATCGGGTGCCGTCTATGACTGCAGGAGAGCGCTCTGTGTAGAAATTATAGCCCTCTGCCAAGCAGTTCAACGCACAGGGCTTCACACCACCTGGGTTACACAGAATACACACAAACAGAGCACATCGTTATCTAGAGTTTAAGCCTGCACACAGAAAACAGACAACATGACCTTAACGCTAATAGAACAACTCAAGAGATAAATGATAAACAACACATAGAGACCGGCAAACACTGGTGATGTCCCAGGAATTGCAGCCAGCTCTGGGATCTCCTCTCCCACTTGTTGACAATAATAATCATGTGGAGTAAAGTCAGCGGTGCTCAGATCTAAAACCCAGAGCCTGACGTCACTGTAACACTGACACCAACAGAGACAGCGCTCAGCTGCCAACAACAATTACACTGACGCAGGTTATCTGCTGTTTTTATATTACGGCCCCCGGCCCGAGGAACGCTGTATGTCAGGAGGTGATGGATTTGACAAAACAGAGCCCTGTGATAAAAGAGATCTAACTTAAGCTCTTCCATCTTTCAAAGAAAATAAAAGTCGTGTTTACATGCTTCAAACTTTTATCACTTTTTCTTGTGTTTTTAGTTAAGTGGATATTTTCCATGATCTGCAAACATCAAGGAGAGAACGTAGGGGGAGAATGACACATAGCCTGAGCTCCTAAACTCCTGCCAATAACTGTGATACAGTACAATAGCACTTCCACCCATTCTGGCTCGGTCAGATAACTGCTGATCCAAAAAGAGGCCAAAGAATGAGCCCCGGGTCCTTCTTCTGGGAAGATTCTTGACATGAAATGTGTCGAGGCGTCTTTCCAAAATGTAAAATCTCCCAGGTTGGACGAGCAGCAGATCTAAAAAACAAGCGAAGGGGGGTCGCGAACACACCGCGCAGTGTACAGGAATCTGAAGAATTCCCTACCCCCCCCGTTGGTGTTAACTTGGTACACGAGACAGGCCGGCCTGCTGACTGTCATTTGTAACGCAAATAAAAGACGACAGCTCAGCATTTTAAAAATAGTTGAGATTGGACGTATTCAATATTCTAGTTTGTTGAGGAAAACATTAAGTGTGAGTCCCCAGCTTGGTTGTACCCTCAGTGTCAGACCCTCTTAGGCGACTTTATTTCTAAAAAAGCCACTTGTAATTGTTCCCCATTGAAAGCTATCCTCTTCGCTATGACTGGAAAATTTCAATTTCTAATTGGTAGGTGCATTTAAAGTAGAAACTACCTCAGGAGAACCCTACACTATTGCTTTAAATGTGAATTAAAATGTCAATATAGTTCTTAAAACTTCTATATAAATGTGCAAATTTTCATAAATATCATAGAATTGTGGGAGAAGCACTTCTCTAAATCTCTAAAATCTCTAATTTAAACCCCCACAGTGTCTATGCCCTGGTTACACCCTTGCTAATGAATCTCTAATGTTCAGTTTGGATTTATGAGTTGGTGCAACCTGGTCATGAACTCACCACCAGTGTAAGGCTTCCAGTTGTAGTATTTTCCACGGAAAGGCATGCTGTCAAAATCAGCGCATTGCTTCTCTCGGAAATCACGAGATCCTACAGGGCAGGCCTGCGATAAAAGAGTAAATACTTTAGAATTTGTTATGCTTAAAGTTTTTCTTTGACCATATGAATCATTTCCACAAAATATGAACATCTATTGAAAGACTCCTGAAGCTTGATGTATAATATAGCTGTTTCTCTGCCTCTCTAACCTTACCTCCTTTTCTTTCTGTTGCATGCTTTACCAAACACGGATAATAATACACAAATTATGTACGGTTGTAAGACTTTCTGTCCAAGTTTGCCTGGAAACGGTTATTGTTTTCTCATGTTGTTATTGACATAAAAGTAGCTTTCTAATAAAAGTTAAGTATATAAAAAACGGTCTTTCTTTGAGTTGTGTAAGCTATCACAGTGAATCTTAAGCCTGCAGAGTAAAGCAATACAGACTTTTCTCATCAATATGCTATTAAACTGCATTACTGAGCAATGATTATGTAACTTTGACAAATAAAAAGTGCAGACTTGATGGGTTATACAACTCAAACAAGTTTTTAAGAGTCTGCGAATTGATTTTCATGCCATACGGAAATGAACGGAAAGCAATGCATAACTGTTAACGTCAGGAAAAAAACATCCATAAATCTGAAAATCTGTGGCATCCATTCAAAAAATGATCCAAAAAAAAAATATGAAAACATGATTTAAACACTGGAATGGTCCTTTAAGATCTTCAGACACAGGCTAGTGAATTATCTGCAACGACTATTTCTTCATTCTGGGAAGCTTTAATTTGCATAGACAACATCATTATTAACAACTGGACAAAGTCAGCACAAAGATGTCACATTTTATTTTCAGACACTAAAACAGACTTGTTTCTTGGAATTCCTAATTGAGAGCCGTGTGTTTTGCATTTGGAGGGATTGCTTTGTTTTCATGTGTGGATGCTGCTCCAGTAAGAGGAGGTAAAAAGTGGAAAGAAACACTTTATTGGTGTGAAAAGGTCCTTAGAAACCCCAAAACACTCTCCCCCGAGACAAATAAAAGATCTTAGGTTAAAGCTGTATTTCACATGCTGAAAGCGTTCCACGTTGGAGCGGGCCATAGGGAAGGCTGAGCCACTTTCATTACCACTCAAGTGTTTTGCCAATATGGCAGCTTTAAACCTGCACATCAAACATGCAGATTGAGTCAGAAGAGACAGAATAATATTATTACAAGTGTGTGTTGAAATGACAACACAGGGCCAAATGAGATTTACATGTGCCAACTCATGTTTGAAGGAAGTAAAAAAAAACTTCAGATGTCACATTAAAATGATTATTTTCATTATCGATTAACCTGTTGTTTAAGTTTTGACTAATCGATGAATCATTTTGTCAAAAAAATAGCCAGAAAATAGTTCATAATCATAAAAAATCACCTAAGAGCCCAGAGAGACGTCTTACAACACCAGTCCAAAACTCGAAGAGAAAAGCCTTTAAATTTAACCAACTGGAACCAGAGGATTTTTGTTGTTTCTTCTTGATAAATGACTGAAATGATTAATAGATTATCAATATTTTTCTGTTGATTTACTAATCAATTAATGGACTTAACAGCATTATTTATGTCATAACACGACCCTGCCATGGCGCGACCTCAGACACCACTCTCTAGAGTTAAAGGGGAACTGCACTGATTTTACATGTTAAAGTCAGTTTAGTAGTAATGTGGAGTGCTGCAGTACACATCTGTGACAACAGCTGTACAACGTCTCCTGTGGCTCTTCAGGAGCTTAGTCAAGTCTCAGAAAATGTTCATCCCTTCAGTAATCTTGGTTAAGTTTAGGTCATTACGCTGCATGCTAGCAGTATGGCTCTAGAGGATGTCAGTTGGTCAACCACACTGGTGCAGACTGAAATATCTCAACAATTATTTGATGCATTGAATTTAAATATGGTCCAGATGTTCTTGGTGCAAAGACGATGAATCCTAGTTACTTTAGTGACCGCCTGACTTCCTCACCTCTTCTAGCACCACCGTGAGGTTGGCACACATTAATTTCCCCCTCTGGATAATTTGTAATAACTTTTGTGATCCCTTAATTTGCCTAATTAGTACCATTAACAGGATAATATAGTTATAATAATCAATAACCTAGCTAATACTAATGTTTGTGGCCAAATACCTGCTAAAACTAATGACATTTCAAAAACTTGACTTGAGATTCAGACTTTGCTTGGACTTGCATTAAAAGACATACACTCAGCAATATTAAAACACAAAGTAACCTACAATTTGAGTAGTTGTCGACCAAGTACTCTTATACTTTTAATTGAGTAGGTTTGTCAAATAGTAATATTTACTTTTACTTAAGTAATTCTTTACGGTTGTTATTGTATTTCTACTTCAGTTGAGATTTTCAGTTCTCGTCTACCACTGACTCTTGTTAATCTGTTTCTCTTAAGTCCCTCTACTTTATGGTATAGTATAGCACTGAATTGTGCTGGAGCTTTAATGTCAACTATAACCTACATATTTAAGTGTGTCCAAGCCCTCTTTCAATAGCTCCTACATGAAGCATTATGCTAATAGGAACAGCCTTTATAATATAAAGTAACCTCCCACAGGACAGACGTAGTAGCAACAGGAAGGGAGGGAGGCAGCATTAACAAATAATATCTGACCACTGATCAATGTAAAAATAGTCGGGATATAAACATCAATTTATGCGTCTAAGTGTGTGAGTATTTGTCATTGTATCGACATCTGGTGCTCACACACACACACATCTCCCTGGACAAGGTGTGGTCAGTGTGATGAAATAGCGGTTAGGGATGTTGTTTGTTTTCCAAAGAAAACACTCAGTGCTTGCTCTCAGCTGTTATTTTTAAGACTTGCGGTTAAATGTCCACCAGGGCCCTAACTATTTCAATTTTCACCTTGTGAAAAAAAAGCCCACCTAGAAATAGCTGAACAGAGATCTCAACTCGCAGCCATGTTAAATATTTGTTTAAAGCTTTGCTCCAGACCCAACCTCTGTGAATTGCTTTTCGTGGAATACACTCTGAAACTGTCATCATCGTTGACTCAAGTGAAATGTCACAAACAATATATGAACTACGAAGTGACAAAGAGACGAATAAACCCAGAGTTACCGGGGGGAATATCGAATCACCGCCTGTGCATTTTTATCATCGTCTGTCCCGCGTTCCAGGAGGAAAACATGTCAGAAAGCTTAACGTCAGTGTGATGCTGCTAGGTAATGTGCTCCTTATAAAGCCTTTCCTAAGATAGCATGTTCTGCAGGAGCAAAAACGTGGAGCAGTGCTCGAAACGATCCCAGGTCAGAATGCCTCAACAGACAGACTGTCAACCAGAGCGGAGCATCCATCAAGAGGACAGTTTAGGTTCCAAGTCACTTGTGTGCTTTGTTTTAAATACAGAGCAGACAGAGTAAAACAGTGAAGGCAAAGAAATGAAGAAAACTCACGTCGGTGTTACAGGATCTGTAACGTTTCCTCTCTCCGAGACAGTACTTGCCTCCTCCAGACGGGCTGAGAGACACAGGAGAATTGAATGAGCGGGGAGGACGTCACATCAACACATCACATTAATAAATCACAATCACACAGTTCTTCAAAGAAATCATCTCTGATGGTGTAGCGAGTACACAAGGAAGGGTTTGGTGAATGCAGGTCATGAAACAGGCCTCAAAAAGTCTCTGCCAGAAGACAAAGTGTGTTTGTGTGTCTGCTTTTGCCGCTTTGCTGAGCATGTGTGCCAATGATTCATTCATGAAATCCAAGCTGCTCTAAGAGCTCTTAAGTGTGACATGCCATTTAGATTTGGGAGAGAGACTACAGTCCTGTAACCTCAGAACTCTCTTTCTCTACTCTTCACTGCACATCTACAACATCTATAAAGGGTTTGTTTTTCTTCTCTTATCATCTCTTTCCCTCTTCTCACCTTCATTAGCCTCCCCTTTTCCTCCACGACTATTTCCACTTCACTGCAAAAAGCTGTGAGACAGGCTCTGTAATGAATGTGTGAGAGGCTGGTCTGGCTGTGTTTTCTCTGCCTCCCTCCTCTTTGCACCCATGCCTGAGCGGCAGCGATCACCTTACACAGGTGTTCCACATTATGCCGGTGCCTTCTCTCTCTCTCTCCCCCCCCTTTTCCCCCTTCCCTCCCTTCCCTCTGCTTCAACCCTGGCTCTTTCTCGTGTCTTCCCATGACGTGTTTGACGTAACATCTAGCCTCCAAAACAAAAGGAATGCAACTCTGGAAGAAAGATAAAGATCCCAAACGTCTACTTGCCATACGAAGATGCACTGGACAATGATTTGTCTGGCGAGGACACACGAGAGGCCTTAAGACAAAACCACACAGCACTATAACCTGCAGTAGAGAGTGAGCTGTGTGTTAACTGAATGCACACGCTGCGTCAGTGCAAACAGCATGAGGACATACTACCAACCTCCTCCCGGTGATTATCTGTCAGAGACTTTAACTTTTGATCGAATGATTCCAGGGGTTTGGTATGGTGTGTTTACTTTTTTAATTTTAATTTTAATCTGTTAGATGTTAAATAATAATGTAATAGTAGAGATAAGAGTCATAAGGTCAGAAAACAGAATCAAAAATGTCAGTAACACAACAATATCTACCTAAAGTTTGCTAAAAATTAGCTACCGTTAGCCACAATAAGCTAACAGTCATACCAGACCAAGTCAGGCTGTAGCAGCGAAACCCTTGAGAACTGAATAAGCGTTTGGCTTATTGGTTATGAGTTTAACTTTTAGTTTATAAGAAGAAGAATGTGGTATTTCTTCTTTTGGGCACAACTTCCTGGAAAATAATGCCTCTCTAGCCGTGACCTCATGCTACACTGAGGTTTGTAACTGACCAGCCAATACATCATCAGTCAAACTCTCTCTGCTTTTCTGTCCACAGCCCATACGTTTACACTTATGATTGACTACTTACTGACCAGTTTCAACAGGAAATAGATCACACTGATTGATCGCTATCTTTTTGATGGGATCTTTAAAGCTCTATGTGATAAACTGTGTGTGCTACCTGCTGATATATACTGTTTCTGTTCATTATAAACAATAAATACATCACTTCCTGTTAGGCTTTGCATTACTACATCCTCTGGGAGTCAACAACAAAGAAAATACAATTAAAAGATAGAATTTAAGGTCATCACATAGAGCTTTAAAGGCTGCTTTTACCATGAGGAAGGAGGCATCGATCCATTAAAGTATTTTACGACTAATTTGCTGTCTAATGAGCTCTACTCCCACTGGGATATAACATACATCCACACAGCATACACATGTGCACACACCACCAACCATAACCACAACCTGTAGGAACAGGACCTGGAATGTGTTGTTGTTCAGCTTCTGTGGCTTACTTTGCCTACTCTACGCTGGGACTGCTCACCAGTGCCCCTCATGGAGGAGGATACCACCGCCACCCACAGTCCTGCTGCACTCCCCCACATGGAACAGGGCCCACCAAGCCGCCGTCCACACTCTGAGGCCAGTACCGAACGCCACGCACTCCTTGGTAGCACCCACTGGAGCAGCCAGAGAAGAGAGAGAGAGAGAGGGGGAAGCGTTGGTTATTATGCTGCAGAGTTGAATCATTTTTTCTTTTGCAACAAAAAGACACATTAACGATTGTTTTAGAGTCTTCAGTTGAGGCGAGACCCACGATAACACGCAACTTATTACAACACAGAATGCTTAAGTGTCAGTTTTACAGTTTTCCAACAGTTATTAGCTTACTATAAATTTATGTGCATCTGTGTATAGTGAAATGTAGACTATACAGAACCTGACTGATGAAGTCTTCCTTCAATAACACAGTCTCTTGCTTTAAACACACACACACACACATACAGACTAACTAGTGATTACACTTTTACTCACCCTATAATTTAATTTCCGCATTACTCCTGTTATTTCTCCTCTCTTACCTGACATTTTCCATTTAGTTATTGCTGTCCTGGTTTCCTCCTCCTTGAGGTTTATTGATTTATCGTATAGTTCATGTTACTCAAGTCAGGTTGTGACATTTTTAGCATTAAAGGAATAGTTCACCATTTGGAGGTATGTGCTTATTTGCCTGCTTTCCGAGAGTGAAAATATTATATAAATTGTATGTATGTCTCATTACAGCAAGACTAAGAATCTTGCTCTTACAAGACTTACAACACTTCTTACATGAAATGTTGAATTCATAAGCAATTAAACAAATTTCCTTCCTTGTGTGGCCACTAGCTTATGGTGGCTAACATTAGCAAACCTTACGTACATTTTGCTTAATTGATTTTATGACCTAGTTCTCCAGTTTTGCTACTGTTACAGTGAGTATTTGCATTTAGCATCGATTCATATTTGCACTTGTTGTTGTTTTCCAGTTTTTAAGTAGGTAGGTCGGGGTGTTATTAGCCTAGCTTAGCTTAAAGACTGGAAGGTATCGCCCAACCTGGCTTTGTCCAAAGTCCAAAAAAACAAAGTGGGTACAGAGACCAAATGTATATAATAACAGGTAAATATAATATACGTATATATGTATACTTAATAAAAATTTATATAATTATGATGTACCAGTTTAACATCTAAGATGGGAAAGGGAAATTGTTGTTTCCCCTAGGAGGTCTTACCTTAGTTAAACAAGCGAAATTCATCCTATCCGAAAATGTATGTACCTTATGTCCTTCTCCTAATTTCTGTGCGTTTTCTTACTTTGTCCAGTCTAACAAAAATGGTCTTATAATGTCTCCTGAACATATTCTTAAATTAAACCATTATTTTAACATGTGTCTGTATTCTTCATCTCATGTTTCCAGAGTACTGTGAGGTGCTGTGAGGTTTCGGCTCTAGACCTGCCTCTATTCTGAAAAAGTGGTCCTGAGTAACTTCTGTTATCGAATTGGCGCCCTATACAAATAAATGAAATTGAAATTGAATTGTTTTCAGAGGCAGGTGAGGGATGGAAAGCACCATGCCGTGTTTCAGGAGTGTTTTAAGCCTCGTGCTAAGCTGTTCAGAGTTCCAGAGGGAAGAGGGGTTTAGAGACGGCCCTTTGTCTCTCCAACTGTGTCAGTAGGTTAAGAACCCAGAGAGACTGGGACAGTCAAGGTGAGGGCTACGTTGGGCCACTGTCCTCTTTCTCTGACTTACTCATTCACGTCCTGAGACGCTGTCTAAACAAGATTAGCAGTGGGAGCGAGGAGAGCGGGGATGGAGAGATGACGGAGGGATCAGGACACAGCAGGGAAACTGACTGGCAGAGGGGAGGGAGATGAAGTCTGCTTTCAACCTTGGAGTTTCTGCGAGTCCAGAAAAAAAACACAAAAAACCTCCTCTCTGTTGGTCAGTTTCTGTCTCTCTCCCACCTCCCTCTGCCCTCTCCCCCAGTCCCTCTCTCCCTCTCTCCCTGCTCCTGTTGGAAGGGCCTCTCTCCATTACACGCTGGGTGAGAAATGGCTGACATTCATATTCCTTTGAAGCTGTCCCCCGGCAGGGGCAGACGGGGTATGCCACTGGATCTCCTAAAGCTGCTCCAAAAGCTGTTCCAAAGCCCCCCAGGCTCAACCTGGGGCCCCCTGTGTTGTCCAGGACCCTGTCCGTGGGCCCCGGTCCTCAAAGGCTCCACTGAGCTAATGGTAATCACGGGTGACAGCTCGTGACACTCTCCTATTCTTCCCTTTTAGACCTCGGACCATCCGGTGACAATGGCTGCCGTAATCCGTGTTAAAACTGTCTCCCCTAACCTGGCTGGCATCAACAGCGGGCTGATGACCTAAAGCCTGGCCTGCTTGCATGTGTGTGTGTGTGGGTGAGTGTGTGTCGTAACACCCGTTGCATGAGTGCACATTCAGGGAATGGTACCCCTTCCCAGAGTGGAATAGATGCAAGTCGAGGCAGTGAGGTACCACTAGCTGAGGCTAATATCTGCCCACAGAGGACTGTACTCTCATTTCACATCATTAGCTACTGCGTTAATTATGTGTGAAACCATTTAAGGGACGGTGGTCTCACCTCTAGACTGGTCATGCAGATAGTTTTGTTTATTTTTTATGTGAAGAAATCTGTCTTTAAGATTTCTGCCTCACTCGAAATATAATCGAGGTAAATGGGATTTCATTTGTAAAAATCTATATCTAATATGCATGTATCCATTTAAATGTGCTTCAGGGTGACTGACCACAGCCGCCATATAAAAGTGAACTTAGCTAGATTATGGCTCGTAATAGCTGTTTCTCTCTATGTTATTGTTATTAACATATTTCTGTGATTTTTTTGCTGATCCATTCTGCCTGTCCTCTTCCAGATCTTCATGGCGGACAGGAGGTCGTATGTCTCACTCGGGGACATCTTAAGTTGTTTTCGACATCCTCATGGATCCACATTTTTCACATTTATTTTATCATCTTCATGTATCGGAAATTGTGTCATCAAAATTTGTGTATGTGACTTTAATGTTTTGTTCTGTACACTCCAGGTTTGTCCTGGGAAGAGGGATCCCTCCTCTGTGACTCTTCCTAATGTTTCTTCCATTCGTTTCTAACTTACTCAGCTATCATATCCCTGACCGATCAGAGCTCCATTCAGAAAACAAACATTTTAAAAGTTGTTTGCTTTTCGTCTTGCGAACAGACCCAACAAAGTACAAATTCAGACTTTTACAAGTTGGAATCATGATGTAGGTATTTCGGCATCTTTTTGATCCATTTATTGACATTCAATTATTTTCAGCACGTACCACCGTTTTTAGTCCAGATTAAAGGCAGAATATTCACTTTGCATTGGATGGGGACACACCATAAAGCCCCCTGAGGCAAACTGTG